AAGTAAACCTTTTATTTTGTATTTTGAAGAGATATGTATACAATGTGTGTTTTTGCAAATGGCTCATTATGAATGGGTAGAGCTTTGCTACAAATGATGAAGTAGTACACACATTTTATAAGTTATGAACAAGGGAATTATGAACACACTACGTATAAGTGTGTTATGAAATCTCTCTATTGTCACAGCTTGGCAACTTTTCTACTATATTTTGAACATGTATATTCTCACTCAATGAAAACAAGATGTGAAATGTTAAAAGTTAATACTACAGGGGCGTAGGAAGGTGTAAATTCAACACTACGCCAAAAATCCCGCCAAAAAAATATGAAACAATTGTGTCAATATTCTATATCAAAACGCCTATTTAATGCTCGTAAAACGTCATTTTATGGTAACAGAGATTTCAAGCTTGCAATATTCACAACCTAAATGTGAACGGAAATACTTAAGCGATGCATTTGTATGGGCGATTGGTCATACGTATAGGTTGGCGTTTCGATTTCATATGCAAGCTTTAAATCCCCGATACCTTTTTAATGTGCTTTAAAATGTTCGAATGATTTTCATCATTTAAAATCACCTTGGAAAGCCTATCTTTTAAATCTCGACACAAACCATTCTCACTTTGCTAATATCTCGAACGATTGAGACGACCAATTTCCAAAAAACAATTAGAGATTTTTTAATCATTTTCGAATAATTGAATTAAGATCTGAAGATATATAGTATTGTCAGATTCCATCGTGTACCGTGCAATACAATACGTACAGATTAAAGAAACTAGTTTGATCAATTGATATAAAGAAACGCATTCGTGATCAATGAAACAAATAAATACACCCACCACAAAGGTCAAATCGAGGTCAACGTGACTTAGGGGATGCCAAAAAATGTTATGAAACAAGAATCTATTATTTGTCAAATGAAAAAAAACTAGGTTATCGCTTTTCTAGAACTGAAATCAATGGAACGTGTAATTGAATAACCAGCATTTTCAAGTTGTTTTTGTCTTTAACATCCATATTTCAAAAAGTACTACCAATAACAATTAGTGATTTAGTAAGAAAATAGATAATTGTTGACTTAACTATAATTTCGTGTCTATGATTTTGCATAGCGACGGAATATAAATCGATAGTGAAATTGAAAAATTGGGGTACGGGAGAATAAAAAAAATATACATCTAAATTTAAAGAGGTTCATCATTATAATTATATGATACCATAGTTAGCATAAGCATTACGGAAAATGCAGAAAAAATGTCAAAGGTATTCATCAAGTAGTTTTTGAAAAAAAACAGCTTTCCTCTCAAATTCGTGAAGAGAACGCGATTCACGAATATTTGGCGAAATTGTATTTATAAGACAGTCAATAGTGGCTCGATTTTCATGAAATAAAGCATGTTGGTAAGGGAATTCAATCTGTTAAATGATATTTGCCAGACAGACCAATAATGATATGGTATCCACAAAACATTTCTTTAGGCTAGTGTGCTCGAGATTACTTTTACAATTTAAACAATGAGAAAATATGACTAAAGAACATAGGAAAGTTAAAAAGTCTTTTTTATTCTCACTTTTCAACACTACGCACTGGCGTTTTGGCGTACATTGTTCCTACGCCACTGTACTAAGCAACTTGTTTTATCTGAAAACATGTTGAATTGTTTTTTTTCTTCAAAAGCTGCTATTCTCATCCCGAATTACCCTTAAATATTTTCAATTTATAATACCAATCGTAATGGTATTTTGTTTATTATAAAATCAATAGATTTAGACATAAAAACGATTTTAAATCAGAACATGTCAGGTTCTAAATGCAAAAAATACTTTATTACACCTTTTTTATCGACAATTGATTTGTCCAGCTTGATAACTACAGAAAAGAAGGTTTTTGTCCATTGTTATTTACATATCCTTATGATTTGAAAAAAATAAGATACTTACTGTTGGCCCTTTGAATCACTATTATGGAGTCACACAGGGCGAGAATGTAATAAGCAGTATCTTACCTGCAAAGTTTACATTTACATTTCATACTGACACTTACTGAATAAGGACAATCCAGTGAAAAATTACAATACCAAGAACAAAAGAATATATTTGGATGATTAAACAATATGTTGAACTCTCCATTTAATCCAAAACCTTGATTCTGATGTGCTTAGTTGTATTGCATTATGGAAGACTCCTATGGAACTACTAACCAAGGAATTGCCCAGCATGGACAATAATGAGCATTTAGTATTTGATTTTGACCTGACCCTCAAAATGATTATATAGTATTAGCCGTGCCGTCAGTGCATTTCCCATTTTGAATTTAAAGATCCAGTCCAATTTTTGCATTATATAGAATGCTTCAAAATTTTCTTTTAATCAATTTCCTTGGCCCAGTCTCCTTTCTAATCTTCTATCTTAATAAACTACCTTGAAATGTGATCTTTAAAACCAGATCAAGTATCATTTATTCTGCAGTCGAGTATTCTAACCTTATTTCAGCATCTGCATCTTATCATTTTGTTTTTAACCAAATAAGATAGGACATTTTCCAAATCATCAATATTGACACACTCCAGTGAATGTTTTTATACACATGAAACATTTGCTATTTTGATAAGACAACCAGAAGTCATACAAATGAAGATTTCATGGAACTTGAATTAGTAGAAGTCAAACATCATTAGCTTAACTTACACATAAGATATCCCTTGAATCCTACAAAACAAAGGTAAAAAAAGATTGAGAGTTGTTGTAATTGGTTATTCTTTTTCATTAACTCAGACATACATGTCAGTAAACACAAATAGATATCTAAATTTTCAAATTTTGGTCTCCTTTAATATACATAAGGGTTATGTACTGGGAGGTTTTGGATATGGGGTTTATCCAGAGGGAGATATGCATATCTACCTGAGGGACCATAGAGACCGAAGGTAGATGTGCATATCTCACGAGGGATGAACCCAATATCCAAACCGACCGTACATAACTGATTTATCCTATACCAAGTAGAGTTTCCAGGGGCATATGGCCATTTCAATAGTTCAAGGTGTAAAAATAAACAAATTATTCATATGCAAAGTCATTTTATTGCATTACCAGAAGCGGGAAGATATGCACTGAAGCGGGAGATATGGCGGGAGATATGGAGGTTCTGGATATGGAAACCTCAAAATCAGGATACGGGATATATCTTCCCAACTTATCTCCCTAAAACTCTACTTGGCATAGGATAAACATAATTATGCTACTATATGTTTCTAAATAGTTCCTTATCGGTTTTGCATAATTATACTTTGTTCAAACTATATTTTGTATAATTATAACTTAATCTTTAAAATAAGCTTCATGCAATGAGAACTAATATACATTAATTGCATTTGCTGGTGAATTCAACAAAAATACTATTAAAGTGAACACAGTATACTACCTGTTCAGTAAACACAAACTATTAAAACACTATACAGTTCTTCAATTTCTTCCATATGCTTACATTTGAAAGCACTCATTTTTCACATCTGATATTCCAATGTTTTGATGTATCAGACCCCTAGTTGTGATTGTACATAATGTTAATGCTTCAGTAAATAAATGTTCATAGCAGGAGGCGAGACAGGGAATACTCTGGTCTAATACACGCTTCACAAGACTTTATATGGAGTTTCATGAAATATATAGACAAATATAAAAAGCAGATGATACTGCACTTGTGATTGTTTGCAATATGGTCCTCTTGCTAGTGGCTGGTTCTTAGCCCTATTTGCTTCAGATTATGTAATATTATATGATAGTAATAAAGATTATTATCATAATAATTTGCCAACAAATAAGAGTTGTTATGTCAACTGGTTTTTGTTTTGTCTAACCTTGAGTGCCAAGGAAACCAGAATGATCCAGATACATCAAACAATTATATGTGTATGGCATTGTTAAAATTTCTTTGCATTGTGGAAAAATGGAAGATGTTGCACAGCCAATTAATTAAATCAGCACAAGTGCCTCTCCAATGAATAATTCCTTGAAAACACATATGGCATGGAAACTTTATATTTCAGGTGCCATCTTTCAAATGATGTTTAAAAAACACTTCAATGCAACAGTGGTTAAACCATCATTGGGAGAGATGACTCAAATTACAAAATATTTCCAAATGTATTATCTTAATTATTAGGTATTCAATAATTGTCTTCGAAGACTTTTATTTTTCATTTATTCCATTTTGCATTCATTTATGTTTTTCCCTTGAGGCTGTGTAGCAATTACAGATGTAGCAATTTTAGCTTACGGATTTAAATTTGCATCATATCATAATTCTTTTATTTACATGGAGCACTGTTCCACAACTAGTTACTTTGACGGAACGTCAATGTAACAAAATGGATGAACTTCCTCTTCCTCCGAGTTTTTTGTTTTCTCAATTTAAACCTACTTATAAGTCAAGCTGCAGATTATAATTTGGCACAAAGCTAGTTTCTTCAATTTGGAATTTGTTTTGTAAATGAAGTTGCAATTCCAATGTATGTTACTTTGACGACTTATGTCAATGTAACAAAAGCGATGCATGAATTATTGCTTTATTCAAAAATCAAGTTCTAAACCTAGGGCATTTCTAAAAGCTAGACTATATCGTCTAACTTAGAGCCAAATGATAATCCACAACGCGACTTATACGTAAGTTTAAATCGAGGAACAAAAAACTTGTATTCATAAGTTCATTCATTTTGTTACATTGACGTTCTGTCAAAGTAACTTTAAGTTGTGGAACAGTGATGGAGGGAGTGCAATGGTCCAGATGCGCATTTTCACTACTGAAAGCTTTTATAACAGTAAATGTGTTAAAATTAACAAGAGTACATATGTGAGATAAGTATGTATTTTATTTTATCAATAATTATTAATCACAAGATAAAAATGTAAAAAAACATGATATTTTCTCAACCAATTCAGTTGTGTTTTCTAATTATTGGCTTCACTTGTGTTTATCGTCATTTGTTCCAGGGGTCTTAAAGGTAAGACACAGTCTAATACCTACCGTTTTTAGTATGAGAACAAAATGTCAAGGATAGTTTAGGATAAATAAAGGATAATTTAAAAGTTATTTAACATATGGTATCTAGTGAGATGCTGATACTATGATCAATAAATATTAAAAAAATTGTTAAAATTGTATGTCATTGCCTAAATTTTTCAATGTACAGTTCTTTTATTCAAAACTCTAAGAAAATGGCCCTAACTATGGTCTAATATAAAGTGTAATATGTTTTAGGAGTCTTATCTAAAGATGAAAATAACAGCCTATTTGGTACTTGGACTAGGTAATACATATAAGAACTGATTCAATATGTTTTCAATAATATTTTTTCATGGCATTTTCTGAACTTACTAAATTGTATATGTATTCTCATTTGGTACTTTGTTTTTTATTTGAAGCACTATTTGTGTACAGTGAAGCATGTAGTGTAACCATTGACAACAAAAGTGCATACTCCGTTGGGTGGACTCTGATATATGCAAGTGCAATTAGAGATCAAGGTAATCAGAAGTACTCAGAGTACAACTGCTATAAATACATAATTAAGGTATATTATGAAGTTTTCAAATTCAAACTGGTAAGTGAGTATGTGAAATGCCTATAATATCTTAATGAAATATCGAAATCAGTAATTCAATGATTGTCTGGACAAATGAACAGATGCATTGATGCATGTAGCTTTAATGTAAATGTGACAAATATTATTAACAGAACTATATAGATTATTGTTTACCCAACTACATATATAAGTGTAAGGTAAGATGAAACAATCTCTCTCAAAACATATAAAACAACACCATATCACTGTAAAATGGACCCAGTCTAAATACAAAAATGGGCCATTTCTGTAGCAACACAAGGAGTTCCTATCATACTTTTTTGTAACTATTTGCAATCACTGACCATGAGGTGAGCTTTTCCTTAAAATAATATATTAACTGAACCTACTTTAGGCAATGTTGCTTCTGGTGCAAGATATACGAAAGATTGTAATACCTGTCTCCCAAGAGATCTGTATGTCACATGGAACAACAGAAATTGCTATCTCTACCTTAACTGTATCGACAGACCCACTGTTGAAGTAAATATATACCCTCAGGCTGGAGGACAATGGAGGATGAGCCTCAGGAACCATCAAACAGGAGAAACTTCATTTTGTGAGTATAACCATTTGGAAACACCAAATTAAAATAATTGATACCACAAGTGTCACCGAGCAAAAAGTCCAAGATTTGAACATGATAATTTATAAAATGCCTGCTAATTAAAGCCTTTAAAATCAGTAAAAGGCAGTCAGAGACCAGTCAGATGTAGACAGCAGTACCTGCATCATATAATATATAGAGGCTGAAGGTAATACTGGGTTGATACTGGGCTTTTTCCAGTAGTGGAAATTATTAACCGGATAGAAAAGATAATCCTTGGGAAAAATGAAATAACATTTATTTTTATTTTACTCATATAATTATTGTTTTGGGTAAATCATATCTTTTATTTTATTAATGTTTTCATTTTATGTTTTAAAAACGAAAAAATGTTATATTTTAGTAACTGTTTGAATATTTTGGTAACGGTTACCAGTAATGATTTTCAGTACCATTGTGACCTCTAATACAATATTTATAGCACACTTAAGATGAAAACCCGTTTAAATCTATACTTATCAATCCAAATCAATTACTAAACAATCAGTAAAATAGTGAAATGCATCCAAAACATTCCTGTTGTACTTCCAGGTAACATGCCATCACCTGATGAGCCAGAATTGGAGAAGTTGGAATAAGAAAGGAGCCTTTCTATACACATGTTTAAGTGCATTGCAAAGGAAAGGCACAAATCAACATCATTCTCTCATTTAATGCTTCTTTGTAAATGATTTAATATGGAAAGCTAGGCCCTTGATTTAAGGTTAATGTAAACTAATTTTAAAGTGTTTGCAATAAAATCAGAAAATAGGTATTGTTCTTTCTGTTCTCATTTCAAACAGAATAGTATTATGACTGTATGTACTATGTATACTTTTAAGATAGATACATCTGGATGCTCATACAAAAAGGAAGGTTCATGAAAGCAAACCAATTACTTAGATCAAGATGAATTGACATTTGTATATGATATAACAAAATCACAGATTGAGACTGATTTGTTTGCATCCACATCAACTGTCTATTGAATTTTTCTATACTTTATATTGCTGGATGTTTAGTCAGCCAATTTAAGAAATAGTTCAGAGTTGAAACATGTGGAAGAAATACACCTTCCTTCAACTTCTACATGATGCGGAAAACTCCTTGTTAAAACCCTTTTCATCTTCGCAGACCTGATAATGATATTATTAACAAGCACTTCCCACTGATGTAAATAAAGATCAGTGTATTAGAAATTGACTCCTTTTGTGAGCTTCCTGAAACTCATCTTCTGAAGACAATTTTTCATACAAGGTGAAATGATGAAAAATGAAATAATGTCACAAACAATGAAAGACACCGTAAAAATAAGTAACCAATTAGATCAATGGGTTGTTTATCAGAAAAAATGTAAGGACCAGTTCCACTGAATAAGGAGTAATGTACAATATATAGCAAGAGAACAAAACTAAGGGCATAATGAAAATAAACCTTATAATATACCAAACATGATGTTACACCTCCCCCACACCATCCTGGAATTTTTTCAAAATAATCAATAACAACAAGACTATGTTACTTGTACATGCTCAAGTCATTTCATTACATGCACAAATCTTAAAAAGTGAGACTTGTTTTATCATAATAGCTCTTCATGGTATAGATACAGCAATAAATGTTGACTAAGACAAAACTTACCTGTATTTATGGCAGTCATTGCATATTCATGATTCAATGAGACATCCATTGTAATGCAAGCAGCCCGTGGTGTTAGCAAATATGAAAATAAAAAAATAAAAATCAGATTAGTTGATAATCAGGAATAGAGTAGATGTACAAATAAAATAAATATATTCAGAACAAATGAGTAGTATATATACAATTTTTGTAAATGGATGTCCATACATTTCTGTTTAACTGTCTTAGCTCTGAACATTTGTTCTCCAAATGTTGCAAGTGAGCTAAAATTGTAACTTCTTTTCATCCTAGAAAATTGCTTCGGTGCAGCAAATCCAAATAACTTAGCCACTCTAGCAACTGCATTCTCCCACATATGTGTATTCATTTTTTAATAAATATATGCTATAGTTCTGACCAACTATGCAGCTGATACTGATTACTTTATAGTGTAGAACCAAACGTAAACATTTGGGTTATAGAACAAGGGTGCAATAACTAATCTTGATAATGGCTTAAGAATATATTAGTCATTTTCCCATGTAAATGAATTAGTTTCCATCAACTGAATCATAACTATGAAACAACAAATATTGTAGGGGCCCAGGATAGCTATGTCTCTGGGTATTATTATGCACATACTACTGTCAATTAAAGGATCTCAGGCTCTGGGTAAATTCCCAATCAGGAAAGTGAACCTGTCAAACTTTGATTCCTGCCACAACCGATGCAGACTGAATGTGTGCTGAAAATGCTTGTTGCGGATACCATGAGCATTTGTCCTGAAATGATAAAACTGCCATCTTTCGATCATGAATAAGTTCCAGAATCATAGGTTTGAAAGATTTATGATATGATGAATTATAATATGATATGAGATATTCTCCATTTTTCTATTTACCAGTGCCCTTGTTATCCCCTGGTGTTATTCCAACATTATGAAGATAAAGGGAATCTACAGACTTTCTATTTTCTGAGAAAATATTCCGATCATATCAAGCAAAAGTGTGTCAATACAAATAAAAAATCATTGTATGATCTTTGTAACATTGAAGAATTTTCTACATTAGTCCAACTCAAAGTAAGCATGATCTATCCTATACTTATTAAGTCTGGGATAGTGTGATGAATTGATGGTACTGACTGTAGTCCAACTGTAAAAATTTATGGAGCACCCAGAGAAAAACATACAACCTTGGAAGCTGAAACAAACACTGGTATTTCTCAACATCAATTGCAACATATATCGTCTGATAAGAGAATGTTTTAAATGATAAAGACTTCTATTTTGTGAAAAATTTGATTTTTCATGGGTGGGATGAAAACAATAGGAATTAATTTATTTTTTGTAAAATACTCAGAAAACCTCACAATTTATTTTTTTAAACTCAGATGTTGGATTATAAGGAAGAAAATTACCTACTCTGTGAAAAAGGTTTACCATATGTGGATAACCTTTATTGCTCTTCAAAGTATATTCACTAGGGGACAGTATATTTTTGTCTTTAAAAATGTCCTCAAAAGTCAGTATATTTTTCAGTACATTTTTAAACTAAAAAATGTCCTTAAAAAGTCAGTATATTTTTAAGTATTTAAGCATATTTTTCAGTACATAATTATACCAAATTTTGTACCTAAAAAGTCAGTATATTAATATACTGAATTTTGTACTTAAAAAAAGTCATTACATTTTTCAGTACAAATACATACTGAAAACGCCCCTTCAGTACAAATGCCCTCCCCTAGTGATTGAAAATGATGCTATCATAATTCTAAAGTTTTTGTTTCCTTTTTTACTTTAGATGTCACAATATGCTTGCTTGATGATACTTACTTTTTTTCACCATAGACATAGAATATATGTATGGTGTTCTTTCACTATTTTTAACAAAAATATTATTTTAAATAAAGTAACAAAATATGAAAGGATGACACTTGGACTCACTGATACTGTTCATTTGATGACAAAACGCTGATTCTCTAAAACAAAGTGGGACAAGTGGTGTAACTTACACGTATATGGCCCCCATAATGAATTCAGACAATAGCCAATTCTAATCAGGCAAAGCATTGTTGACAGATGGAAGAACAGACAGACACACAATCTTGTTTTAATATTTCTCTTGGTGAATAAACAACTGAACTATTTCATAACCTCACTATGTGAGCCAAAACTTAATAAAAAATAGAAAACGGCAAATCCACCGAATAGCAAATCCCAATGAATACAATATAAATCATGAACCTGTACAGTCACACTGTAATATTTACCATCTACTCTTCCCTTCAATAAATATTAGTATCATGTTATCATACTTTCAAAATAACTATAAGTAATGGTGCACTAGCTAGGCAGCCATTTTGAATTTTCTGAGGCTCAAATCAGAAAAACAATACCATAATTGTAATCTACTCTGAAATTCCTTCAATTTTAGTATAATATTGCCATACTTTTAGGAGATCAGAAAATAATGGCAAAATTCCCTATTGGGTGGCCATTTTATGAGGCTCGAATCAGAAAAAATGATACATCATTTGCAATCTACTCCAAATTGCATTTCATTTGAGTACAATAAATCTATACTTCAAAAACATCTCAAAATTAACGCAAATTCCTGTTTCCCAACCCCGATTTACAGCCCTTAGGGAATATATGTGAAATTGATAGATGTTGAGAATATTCTACCAAAATATAAAATAATAATATTTATTACTTTTGTTTAAAATGAAAAACATAAGATATTTGCAAAAAATGCCAGCCATTCTTTTAACCGGTGGCTATCTTGAAAATATGTTTTTGTGTAAAACTATTCACCAATATACATCTTTCCACCAAATTTGAAGAAAATCTGATAACTAGTATTCAAAATATCTTCCGGACAGACTGACTGACAGACGGAGGGCTTCACTATATCCCTACTGAAATTTGTTAGTTGGGTTAATAACTGATCTTTAGTTAACTATATATCCATAATAATACTCTAAAGACAAAACAGTTATAGTGGTGCATTAATAATGACCTGTTCTAGCACCAAATTTCCAGTTAGTGTCTATATTATTTATATGTTCTCCTGCTCTCAGGAGAGCCACCGTAAGATCCATTAGGGGCAAAAGAAGAAAATAATTTCAAGAAATCATCTGGGAAAACATATGCACAGACTGCAGTCAGTCAGGTGACTTAAATTAAGTTATTGGTATACTTAAGATGTTTTGATTATTTATTTTCCTCTTTTTGACAGGAGCCTATAATCAATTCCAACATGATCAAATTCATTCGATAATACTTCTGTAGACCAATAAAAACACACCATTTTAAATATTACAGCCTGATGCAAATGAAAAAATGGAAGGGCCTAATTTAAAAATCTGAACTACTCCACAATTGATTCTGCTATGGAATTTGATGCAATAAATGGCATCCATAAAACAGCTATCAATGCTCTGGTTAAATCTTATGATCCTTGCCTCAGAAAATTCAATTTGTAGGTAATGCCGATCTGAGAGATATCAATAAAACAGCAACCGAATCCTGGTAACAAATCATCAATTTAGTACAAGATCAAGCAATAATTTGACATTTGTAAACCATGTTAGGCCCTGTAAGGCTACAGTATAGTGAAGAGAACAAATCATCCTTCACTTGTATTCATTCTTGAGAAAAAGAAAAATGGCTAAAAGTCTATGAACATACTTTCATACATATGTATGATAATTTTCAAGATAATTTATTCTTAAAGATTGAAGATTGTGATTATTCTGAAGGCATAAAATGCTGGAAGGTCAAAAAATACATCAGAGACATCAAAGTTAATAAAGAATTTATGTGACTAATTTGAGACTAAATTCACTAAATCCCTTTCCTTATATGCAATTCATGTTATAAAACATATCATGTACTTATCCAGACATTCTACAATAAAACATCTTCAGAATACAAACGAGGAACATTGAAGTATGAAACTATACTTTTCAAAAGAAGAATGTGTGCAATAACTTTAAAATATTTTCATATACAGTAATTTTTCATTATCATTAATGCAATAGACACTGAGTGACATATTGCCATTTATAAGTAGGTTAATTCCTCCTCGATGAGTATAGAAGGACAACAATATATCATCTGAATAAGGTGAAGATTATAAGTACAACAGGAAT